TCATCAGTATGTACCTTCTGAAACAAAACCTCTCCAGATGCAACCAACTCTCTGATCTTGTGGAACCTTACATCAATATGTTTAGTTCTAGCACGATACACCTGATTCTTAGCCAAGTGAATAGCACTTTGATTATCACAAAGCAACTGAACTCCACCTTGTTGAACACCCAACTCCTTCACTAAACCAGTAAGCCATAAAGCTTCTTTTGCAGCTTCAGCCGCTGCCATGTATTCAGCTTCAGTTGTAGATAGTGCCACGACAGATTGAACAGTAGACTTCCAGCAAATAGGCCCTCCACCAAGAGTAAACACATACCCTGTCGTAGATCTTCTATTATCCAAGTCACCTGCATAATCTGAATCCACATATCCTACAACCAAAGGATTATCCCGCTGACTCCCAAAAACAATTCCATGTCCCACAGTACCCTTTAAGTACCGAAAGATCCACTTGACTGCATCCCAATGTTGCTTACCAGGTTTAGACATGTACTTACAAACTTGACTAACAGCATGAGCTAAATCAGGACGAGTACATACCATCGCATACATCAAGCAGCCAACATCATTAGAATACGGAACCTTTGCCATATTTTCAGCTTCCTTATCTGTCTTAGGGCACTGTTCTGATGAGAGCTTAAAGTGATTCGCCAATGGAGTGCTAACTGGTTTCGCGCTACTCATCGCAAACCTTTCTAGCATTTTCTCAACATAACCCCGTTGAGATAGCCGCAGTTTCCTTGAGTCTCTGTCCCTGCAAATTTCCATTCCAAGAATTTTCTTTGCAGCACCTAAATCTTTCATATCAAATTCCTGACTCAATAAAGTTTTCAAACCGATAACATCATCCATGTTCTTCGCAGCAATCAACATATCATCAACATACAGTAATAGAAAAATAAAAGAACCATCATCAAGGCTCTTAACATAGACACAACAATCATACTCACATCGGTTGTAGCCAATCTTGATCATATAGGAGTCAAACCGTTTATACCACTGTCTCGGAGACTGTTTTAACCCGTACAAAGATTTCTTCAATCTGCAAACTAAATGCTCGTTTCCAGGTTGAGTGAAACCTTCAGGTTGCCGCATGTAGATCTGCTCCTCTAAATCACCATGCAAAAAAGCAGTTTTAACATCCATCTGCTCTAAATGCAAATCCCAACTAGCCACCAATGCAAGTACTGCTCGGATTGAAGTGTGCCTGACCACAGGAGAAAAGATTTCATCATAATCAACTCCTTTCTGCTATGAAAAACCCTTCGCTACCAAACGAGCCTTGAACTTCTCCCCCTCTTTTCTGTTACTGTGGTTTCTTCTTATACACCCATTTGCAACCAATCGGCTTCTTACCCTCAGGAAGGGGAACTAACTCCCATGTGCGATTGTGATTCAAAGACTCCATCTCCTCAACCATGGCTGCCATCCACTTGTCGTTTTCCTGACTAGTAACGGCATCATGAAAAGTAACTGGATCATCACTGCTAACAGTAAGTGCAAAAGATACCAAGTCTTCAAAACCCAATCTGTTCGGAGGCTTTATATTCGTCCGTCTCACCCTGTCTCTGGCGAGACTATAATCCTGCAAATCATCCGTAGTGGAACCACCAGAAGTCGGTTGAGAAGTTTCTGGTTTCTCAACTGGAAACTGCTCGAAATCTACCACTGTCGTGTCTTGCTTCTGCTGCAACATAGACTGTTCATCAAAAACGACATCTCTACTAATCACAACTTTCTTCGTAACTGGATCCCAGAACTTGAATCCTTTGACACCTTTCTTGTAACCCAGAAAAATGCACTCCTTCGATTTTGCATCAAGTTTGGATCTCTCATCAGCAGGTACATGCACATAAGCAGGACAACCAAAAATCCGTAAGTTATCAAAACTAAACATCATGACCAGTCCATACCTCTTCTGCAACTTTCCCAGCCAGCGATGCCCTTGGCGATCTGTTGATAAGGTAACACGCCATGTTAACAGCCTCAGCCCAGAAGTGTTTGGGAAGCCCCGCATTCAACCGCAAACATCTGGCTCTTTCATTCAACGACCTGTTCATTCGTTCCGCAACACCATTCTGTTGTGGTGTCTTGCGCACTGTAAAATGCCTTTGAATCCCATGCTCCTTACAGAATTGTAGGAACCGTGAATATGTGTACTCCGTACCATTATCAGACCGCAAACACTTGATTTTTCGTCCTGTTTGGTTTTCTACCTCAGCTTTCCACAGCTTGAACTTCTCAAAAACTTCAGATTTCTGTTTCAAAAAATACACCCAAACTTTCCGTGAAAAATCATCAATAAAAGTAACATAGTACCTAGATCCACCCAAAGACGATGTCGTGGAAGGCCCCCATACATCAGAATGCACATAATCAAGAATCCCTTGAGTTGTGTGCTTCGCAGTCTTGAAACGGACTTTAGTCTGTTTACCAAGAACACAATACTTGCAAAAATCGAGCTTACAGCTTTTGACACCATGCAACAAGTTTCTCTTGTGTAATTCTGCCATACCACGTTCACTAAGATGAGCAAGGCGCATATGCCACAATTTTGTCGTATCATCACAGGACTCAACAGAGTGAACTCCACCTGCAACGGTACTCCCTAACAATCTGTAGATATTCCCTGCAGTCATCTTGCCTTTCATCACAGTCAATGCTCCTTTAACAATCCGAATGGTTTCCCTATCCTCGTCAGCCTTAGGGATAAAACCATTCTTGTGCAAAGTGCCCAAGGAAATCAAATTCTTCTTCAAGTCTGGGATATGTCGAACACCACTCAACGTCCGAACGGAGCCATCGTGCATCTTAATTCTGACATCACCAATACCAACAATATTGCAACATCGATCATCACCCAAATAAACCGAACCAGAATTAACCGGCCTGTATGTCGAAAACCATTCCCTATTTGGCGTGATGTGATAAGAACATCCAGAATCAAGAATCCAAGCATCCGTCAATTGTGTCGTTGAAATAGAAAGCATATCACCCTCACTGCAATCAGAAGTATCATCCTCGACCACGTTCACAGACTTGGATGAGCCATCACGCTTCTCATCGGTCTGCTTTTTCAACTTCGGACAGTCTCGCTTCATATGTCCCGCCTCCTTGCACTTGTAACAGTGAATCGTCTTCTTATCCCTGGATTTGGATCTGGAATTCCGCTTCCCGGACCCTGCCTTCTCTGGCTTCCGTCCACGATCTCGATTACCCTTGACATATAAGCTATCGGCTTGAGAGCTTTCCCCTGCATTCTGCTTCCGCTGGTTGTGAGCCAACAAGGCTGCAGTAATCTCCTCAACGTTGATAGTCTCTTTCCCATATGTAAGAGTAGTCACCATGTGTTCGTAAGAGGAAGGCAACGAACACAACAGAATCATCGCTCTGTCTTCATCCTCAATTTTCACATCAAGCCGAGCCATATCAGAAACGATTTGATTGAAGACATTCACGTGTTGCGCCAAATCGTGATCGTCCTGCATCTTCAGCCCATACAGCCGCTGCTTCAGATACAGTTTTGTCGTTAAGGATTTGGACATAAACTGACTTTCCAACTTCCTCCAAATTTCGTCTGGAGACGATAGATGCATGACGTGATACATGACCTCGTCCGCCAAGCATAATCGTATGGTTCCTGCCGCTCGCTGCTGCAATTCTTCCCAATCTTCCTCATCCATCGACGCCGGCTTTGTAGGTCGCAAAGCCTTCAAGATCCCTTGCTGCGCCAATAGATCCTTCACCCTCGTTTGCCATAATCCGAAGTTACCCTGACCATCGAATTTCGCGACTTCGAATTTTGCTCCTGACATCTGATACCAATTGTTGACGAAAACGGGTAAAGAAAACGAAAGAACACGAGAATTTTACGAGGTTCGGCAATGTGCTTACGTCCTCGGTGCCTAGGCGGCGCTAGAAGTTTTATTCAATGATATTTTAGGTCTAGGTTACATCTCTATTTATAATAGAAAACCCTGGTACATAATTACAAAATCAACCCTGTACCGTACCGCGGGGGCTGCGCCCCCACACCCCCAACCCACATAATTCGTAACCCCACAACGAGACTTTTATGAGCCATACATAACAGTAGTGGAAGTAAAAGACGGGCATTTGCAGGACTATGCAGGCGACTACAATGTATGGTTTTCAATCGGCAACTCAGATAAATGTTTGCTATTTTTCTCCATCACCTATTGATGGTATTCACCTGAAATGTGGTGTTCAATGAGTTGTTTCTTATTTGATTAATCGTTCTGAAATGAACAGTACTATCTGGAGAAGAACCTAGAGGCAAGGGAGAAGGAACTGGAGCGTGAGGCGGAACTTGAAGAGAAAGTTCCGAAAGTGAAAGCGAAATCAAAGATGTCAAAGGTAAGCAAATACGTGGTTTGTAAACTGGGGAGGTAATGGTGTAGATGATAACATGAAACTTGGCTTGGTGGTTTGAACAGGCGGAGAAGGATCAAAAGAAACAAAAAAGGCAGGCATTTCAAGCAGCTAAACAAAAGTCCAAAGGGCTCAAGAATTCCAAGAGATGGAACTGAAATCTATACCACGCATTGATTAAAGCACCCAAGAATTGAATGACCACCTCCGCCATCTGTATATAATAATTTGATAGGAATTGAAGCTCTTATATCAATGTAGAAGCTTCGTAACTCGCAGCCGGTTTCAAATCCTTGTTTTTATTTGAAGGTGGTTTGCAATTCATAAACGGTGAACTTTTTCTTTTTGATTAAATAAATGGTGAACTTCATTGGAGGAGTGGAAGGAACTTCATGCTCAAATCTATGTACATCAGCATGTTTTTAGTTATCTAAATTGGTTTAACTCAATCATTAAAGAATGTTAAATGAATTATTGAAAATAAAATTGTTTAATAATTAGAATAAAATTAATTCAATAACTAAATAGATTGTTTATCCTAATGCCAAGAAATGTCTAGAAGGGATGCCTAAAAGCAAGGTGATGGCACCACGTTTCAGTAGAACGTGTCCGAACATGAAAGCATCCCCCAACTACAAACCTGCAGACACCACTTCCTCTTTTCGAATATTCAGTTCTGCAAATTTTAAGAATGAATAGATCTAGAGCAACACCCTTGTCACTGTTTCTTCTCTGGTTAGTCATCCTATCCCACCAAATTCGACCCCTACTTTGCCAAGAAACACAGAACAATGAAGAGAAGCCAACTATGTTCCAGTTACTGTCAAACACCCTTCCGTTGTTGAAGAAATCCCATAAGAGTTATTGGGAAAAGATGAAAGCCATCGTCCACGAGCTCCAGTTGCACTTTACCCCTCCAAGTCTCGAGTAAGAACATCATTTGCACTGCATGACGTTCCCTGTTTTTGTTTATTACATACTATGATGAATCCATTTTACTATGTTTGTATTGTTAGTTTTAGGGGCACAGGAAAAGGCCCAGCTGCAGCTGTTGGTGCGGGAGAGAAGGTGAAAGAAGCAGTGAAGGACAGCATCGGAACAAGTGAAGCCATCGCTAAAGAAACTGCGAAGTCTGCTGCAGAAGCTATCCACAGAACCACCGAGAAGCTCAAAGGGACTGCCCCTGACTCTGGTCAACAAGAATCTCGCGATGAGCTGTAAACTAAAATCCCACTAACCTATCTTATATCATAGATGTGTGTTTGTGTTTTGTTTTGCCATCTACCTGTATGATTGTAATAATAATGCTTGAAGTAAATTAGAATTTGTGTATTTGCAACATTCTTGTATTTCCATTATTTTATATAACAAGGATGACTGATAGTTAATCCATCAGATTGGCCCAGTCCCAATTCTATTGGGTCTACAGTGAGGATTAAGGACTATAGCCTCTCTTTCCTACGGGCTGGATTTTTAACAGCTCAGCCACCAAAAAAAGCCTAGAGTGTCAACTGGAAAAGTAAATCTTTCAAGCAGCTGACCGTTTTAGGCAACAAGATAAGCATAGTTGTAAGTATAGATTCATGTAGAAGAAGAAGATGAAGGTTGCAGGGTCCAAGCATTAGGAGCCATAAGGGGCATTTGATTATAGTAAAGCATGGATGGGGTGTCATGGTTGTGAACACCATCGTATGTAGTTATCACGTAACTCTTGTCATTTATGTCCCTTTCTATCCTCTTCTTCACATTGCATCCTCCACTTGAACATTTATAATAATTCCTGCATTACCCAACAATGTATTCCACATCTTCATCAACCAACAATACAATATGAAACATACACATACACCATATATGTATTTCACATCATCATCAACCAACAAATCAATCGGGGTTATATATATTTAACAAAAAATATACACATACACATTTTTTTAACTCATAAATCATAATCTTCTTGTTTATCGTCAAAAATAGGGATTTGAAATTTTCGAAATAGAATATCTCAAAATATAAGGTCTATTTTGAAAAGAAAGAGTATAATAAAGCCGAAGTACCAAGTAAAAGTAGATGCCTCTATATGCTCATGAACAGCTATTTCTACAATCCTATATATACTTTCATCTTTGACGACAAACGTATAATAATTGTTTAAAATTATCTGAAATATGTTGGCCTTAATAAAACTAAAAATATGACTCATTTGAAATATAGACTTGATCAAGTATTGATCTTGGACCAATCACGTGTTCAGAAATAGAGATAATTTATTTCAGAGTTAAATATTGTTTAAGTATTCTAAAATGAAAATTTAGATATGCATTTTTTTAAAGTTTTTAGTTTTATGTACTTAACTTCTTTAATTATTATATCATATCGAATATGACACGTCTTTCTGATATTTATGCATATATATATATATATATATATATTTGAGTAGTAGTGATGATTTGTAAGTTATCTGATTATATAAGTATTCATGTGAGTCATAAGATGAATAATTTATACATATATCTATAAATAATCGAATAGTTGCCGTATTGCCGTAGTTTATTTTTTATTTTTGCTTTACTTAGATGTGAAAGGACATGAGGACAAAAACACCTAAAATATTAATTATTCAGTTATTTTTTAATTCAATAAAATTTTATAATTTTATAATGATATGTTAATATCTAACTCTAATAATATATGAAATTATATATATTAAATATATGATGATTTTTCAAAGTAATTTAGAGAGATGTATAAAAGTGTACATACACATCAGTAATCACCTTACCCTACTCAGATTTTTATTTTTGTTAAACTGCTGGCATCCGAATCCTATATTTAATGCATATTTAAGAGAGAAAAAAGCAAGTTCAGATGACATAAAGATATATTCACAGCAATATTGAAATGTGAAAATTTTGATAGCAGCAAAGCATATTTTGCTCTGATGTGGTCCAGCACTCAGAACTGTGCTTTTAAATTTTGAGAAAAGCTATCGAGTTGGTCTTTTCACAGCTTCCACGGTTGTCCATGGTGTCTTAAACTAGGAACGAAGGTAGAATTTTATGCAATTTTAGTGTAGGTGGAGTGATGGATGCGTTTTCTACTTGAACGATGAATGCAAAACTAGCTTTGGTGTGGACAAACGCAGCAGCCCACAGTGTATGTATGTGGAGTGATGGATGCACCTTGTTGGGGCATGTTTGATGTGATGGGATTTATGATCAACTCTACACGGAGTGCAAAACCATGTGCGTCGGACGTGGTAGAAAGGGAAATAAAGTTATTTGTACTTCTCTTCTTTGATACAAAGAGGTATGTTTTCAAATAATACAAAAAAATTCATGCTTACTAATTAGCAAATTGCTGCAAATTGTTGAAGATTTAAACTATAATAATATCAAAATCCCACATGCTGCCTCATTTTATGATATAAAAAAACCAAATCCATTGTTTTTAGACAGATTTTCTGCATACTTAAATATAATTATTATTTCCATTTCAGCACGAGGAACAAGAAGAAGTTAATTATCAAGTTGAAAGTATTATATTTTTAATATAGATGTATACAAAGTTATGGGGTCCGCTTACTATTGAAACCATGATGATGAGATCCATCAGTGAAACTGAATAATTTCATTATCTTAATCATATATTTCATGCAATTAATAAGATAAAATCAGGAAACTACCTTGGGTTGGGGCTGTTCTTGATGGACTTTTTACCATATTTCCTCCATTTGTATCCATCATCGATCACGTCCATCTCCGACTTCATTCTAAACGCAACTCGAACCCCCAGGTCCGATTTGTTTTTCCCCACTCCATTTTTGCATTTTCTGCAATTTTTTAACCCAAAAAATCAATAAATACCTTAAACGAAGGGAGAAAAGATCCATTGAGCAGCTCGTAATATATATCACTTGCATGTTACTATTTTTGGAGGTTGCACCACTCAGTTCAGTAGCGGCAGCCATGTCTTTCTCCGTCGAAGCCATACTTTGCGGCGAGTAGGCATCGTCGTCGTCGAAGATGCTGTCATCGAGCATAAGATAATCGGAGAACTGGAAATCGGACATGGGATTGGGGGTTTCAGGGAAGAAGGTGTAATTAGGGTTAAAGTTAGGGTTTTGATGAGAAAAGTCCATTTTCTAAGGAAAAACTGGACTTTGGTCTTGGACAGTGTTGTAGGAAGGGGAGCTTGTTTGGCATAGCTGCAAACGATTTTATACATTTAATTTTAAATATCCTAAACAATATAATTCTTTTTCCAATTTTTAATTTTATGAGCTGCTGCTTCATCGACACTTCCTGGAGCGATGCAACGAAGGTTCTTTGGTGCTGCCACGTGGTATGATGACGTCATATGGGTGACTTGTGCATTTAACTTTATTGCGTTACAGTAAGGGACCGCTTGTTATGTATTACACAACTCGTTGCTTTTGGTAGGCGGGGAATTATTGGGTTTTTTTTCAGGGGATAAATAAAGGATCGTGTGTAAAACTTGATTGTGTCACGGACGCGAATTTGTTGACAAGGTCAGCTCATACCAGATTATTTGTGGGGTCACAATCAGCACAAGGCAGTCTACTTCTACCGTGGGTTAAGACCAACACCCATCAGGATGAGACAGACGCAACCCAAATGGCTCACGAGGACCACGTCGAGATCAAAGTGCACACAGCGCCTCACAGGGTCAATACATGCCCGCCCCAAACTACCTACAAGCACAGCCAACGCACGTCAAGGACTGTCAAGGGCTCTAGCCAGCACACAATGAGACACACTAGGGGTTGGGGCCAACGCACATCGGGTGTGCGCCTAGAACTGAGATGAGAGAACAAAGGGGTTCGCTTAGGGGTGAAGGCAGCGCATATCGAGGGTACACAGGGTCGAGACCTGCCCACATTGTGGGTGCACTAAGGGCCAAGGCCAACACCGACTTAGGGATTGTCCACCTAGCAAGGTCGGCCATTACTTGGAAAAACTAGGACAAGTAGTATAGTTCTTAGTTGAATAGGACTCAAATATTAGAGTTTTAACTAAAGAGTTTTACTTGTAGTTAAGCTAGGAGTAGTCATTGAATGTAAGGGAATTTCATTATAAAGGAGGTCTCCCCGAGCTCCCTTGGATATAGAGAGTTTTTGTGTGAATAAACTTACGCATCCGTGCCAAAAATTTCTTCCACATACGCTCATTTACATTTTTAATGTTTTTCCATCGTACTTATCGTCATAACAACATTAATCGAGGAGTTTAGGCTAACTTAGAAGCCAAGCGACCGAAAAAGGCATCTTAGGGTCGCACATATCGCTTAGCCGACAGTCTAGCCCCGTGACAAGTGGTATCAGAGTGAGGTTCGTTGTTGGATGAGATGGCTTCACAACGCAACGATGCAACGAGGTCCGAGGGAGTCGAGACCCGTAACACAGGAAAGACGAGAGACTCTTCAAAGGACATTATCACATTGTTCCAAGGTAAGATCGCTAAACCCGAAGACTCCGTACGGGAGGCTAAGGAGGTGTTGGATCAATTGGAATCAATCAACCTAGAAAAGTTAGGGTCCCTAGATCTAGAGAAGCTTGAAGCCTTAAAGAATATCCAAGAGGAAGTGCAGGTTACACTCAACGGATCAGATGCGAAGTGTTTCAAACACGATGATGCCTTGGAAGCCCAAATCCTGACCTTAACACAAGAGGTTGAAGAACTTAAAAACCAGGTTCCAGAACCGAGGTCAAGACCTGAAGTAAGAGATCGAACAACTCAAGACCGAGATGGCCTTGTACAAGGCTACCGTGGCTGGTAGCATGCTAACCAGCGCCCCCAAAGGCCGGGCCAAGGTCCCTAAACCAAAAAAGTTTAAAGGACTAGGTCGGCCAAAGACATTGAAAATGTAACCCCCCTCAAACCGATGCGGGTAACCCGATCCGATCTGGGGTGTCACATTAGGGCCACCGGAGCGACCCACTGTAAAAATATCGGAAAATTTGAAACTTTTATTAAAACATGTAACTCATAAAATGATTTATTAGTATGTAGAAATAAAATAGATTTTCAGACTCGTATATAAAACAAAATATAATTACATGCCCCCTAATCACATATACCATACTCTACAAGCAATGCCGGAAGAACTCCCTTACTGATGTCGATAGCTACACTGGTACGATTCTATTAACCTGAAAAGGTGAGTAATAGAATGAGGTTTGGAAATCTCAGTAATACAGAACTACCAGATGATGC